AATCTCATTTCTTATATCACCGGACAAAATCCAGAAGTGCACTACCTATTTCTCCTTTTCACTTAGATTTTCATCCTGAAAAACAAATTTGCAAGGGAAAAATAAACAAATTTAAAAATCCACCTATATGTGCATTATTAAAGTAGATTACTAAACAACTGCAGATAATTGTTGATACTGTGTATGGCTTCTGAAAATTTCCACATATAGTAGACTATTCACAGTCCTATTCGCATCAATGTAGCAACAGTTAAATTTTTTTGAATTTTTTTTTTAAATCTTGGTTTACATGACTGCTGTTATTTTTATTATAACACTTTCTGTAAGACCTATGTGTAGTAAATGCTTAAAGATGCTACCTTATTTTAACAGTATCTACAAAGTTCTAATCTTTATGACAACATGTAGGTGCCCATTCACTGTGGTATAAAGCATAACAAACTATATATGGCCCTGATCTTGCAAGTGACTCTGGGTAGACCCAGGTGGAAGTTAGTGATGCTCTGTACTGGTACAGCGATTTGCCCACATGGAATCGCTTGCAGGACTGGGGCCCATAGTATCAAATCAGGTGCTTATAACTCAGCTTTGTTACCAAAATGAATCTCTAATACTTAAGATGAGCTGATATATTATGAAGCTTTGCAGAGATGTCCATGTGGAGATCCCTATCTTAGAGTCTCACACTCTGATAAGTATCTTTGTATTTCAGTTTTTAAATATTTGGCTGAAAAATATCTTCAAAGGCTCAAACAACAAACAGCTGAAGATCCAGATGTAGTACATACAAGTAGTAACAAAATTGGTAAGTATGCAACAATAAACTGCAGCCAGTCAGTATTTTATGCTGATGAAGCCTACTATTAAGGATCTGATCCATCTTCCATTGGAGTCACAGGGAGTTGATTTCATGCTGCTAATTAGCTTTTTTCTACCTTACTATATTGTCTGTTATCCTTTTGTAATATAGTCAAACTAATGTACTAACAATTCTGGCCAATGTTTGTGAACTACCCTTTTTATTCAGTTCTTGGGAAGAACATTGTAAAGACTTGAGAATGGATGTTTCCCTGACACTTGCCTTTTTTTTTAAATGTAATTAGTATTAGTGTTAGTCATGCTGGAGCAGATATACAAGAGACTCACTGTGAAAAGATCTGGCATTTAATGAGAAGGGCTTTGTAAACTTTGTCTTTTGTAAGGAAACCTTGAACTTTAGTTCTTTAAAGCACTTTTGAGTCAACTGATTTTTTTTTCTCCTTAAAGGCCTCTTCTTTTATACTACCCTTTTCCTCTCCTTTATCCCAACAAAGTTGCTAATTTAAAAGCCCTGTCATGTTTGTTTATTGTATTACTCAACTAAACATAAGTTTGTTGCCATGTGATTAGCATCTGAGTAAGTATGCAATTGTCCAGTTCCTTAGGTGTACATTTTGTGCTAGTATTAAACCTCACAGTGGCATGTATTTAACTCCAACTGGCTCTAGTTCAGAAACATAGCTTATTGAACTCTAGCTGCAAGTGACCACAAGAATAAATAACTGTTCAGGAATTAAAGAGCTTGTGTTTGAGATGTATTACTATGCATTAGTAAATGCTTTGGCTTAAGATTCAACATATAAAAGGTATAAAGAGATTCACAGAAATTGCTGCTTTTTTTCTTTAAATTATGTAGGTGTTTTTAATACAGCTGGTGGAAGTCATTCAGGCCACAATTCTAGCACACTTAATGGTGGAGATGTCATCAACCTTAGACCAAACAAACAGAGGACCAAGAAAAACAGAAGTCCTTTTAGCAGTTGCAACATACCTTAGAAACACTTTCGGAAGGAAAAAGAATGACAGTCATTTGGATGAAGTCGTGCAATTAAATACGGAATACAGCCAGCTATAGAGGTATTTTACCAGTGCTCTAGCAAACCTTGCACCTACAGGATCCTTGATAGATGGTGGATTTAAATAATATTGCTGTTGCAATGTTTATTTTGTATGTAAAGTGAGACCCCGGTGGCAAAACAAACAAACAAAATATAGAACCATTGTTGTCCCTGTGCATTTTTTTTTAAATTGGATGAGCTTTTCCTGTTTGAAGGAATGATGTACAAAGCTATGTAATAGGTTTGGCTGAATGGTTAAGCATATTAAAAATGTAAGCATAGTGCTTACAAGTATCGGTACATAATAACATGACCCAAGGTGAAGTAGCTTCCTTCCAATTACATTTACCTGCAAATTTGATAGAAGAGTGGTAGTCAGCCAGGACTCTGAAAAGTAAAATGAGAAGCAAAAGGCAGACATCATATTTGTCAGATTACACTAATACATATTCTGGCAATTTTATTGGTGCAATAAGTTTGTATATTATATGAATGTTAAGTAAGGTGTGTACGTAGATATTTGGTACAAGTACTCAGACCACACAAGAGGATACAGTATTGGATTAAAATAGCATCCTTAAAAATGTTTTCACTTCTTAAAATTTTGCATTTCAAATGAGGCTTTCTAAAGGAGTTCTGTTCATTCATTAATTAACTCACTACACTTTTTGGGCCTTAAAGCTTAGGTTTAAGAAGAGATGTGCCAAAAACATTTTTTCCTGTTTATTTTGTAATGCACTACAGATATTTTTGTAAAGTTTGTTTGTGTCAGTCATAACAGGGTAAACAAGTAGTATCAGAAACAATACTATCAGTCAACTAAATGGAACCCATACATTTTCAATTGTATTCCTGTCCAAAAATATATTGCTGACATCTAATATGTTCATGTAGCATGAACTATGAAAAGTATGTTGAATTTGCAGAGTGGGATGTCAACAAAATGTCTTAAGTTCTATTGAGAAATTCCACGGTAGGTGTAAACTGTGTTCTGGAGGATCCAACAAGTTGTAGCTGAAGACTAAATCACACATTAAACTAATGAGACCCTCTTTAATGCTGTCTCATATTCAGAGTTATGCTGCTCGTTAAAAATATAATTCTGCAATATCAGACCTAAGGGGTAAAGTTTTCAGAAGTGACTTAGGGCTTGCTGACACGGTGCACCAATGCACATTAGAGGGGTATGATTCCTAAAGTATATCATGTTGCACCTAAGTGACCCATATTCCTGCTAGCATGAACTAAAAGTTCCCTAGTGCACATTAACATAGACATGCAGTAGGGAACTTTTAGTTCATGCCAGCAGGGTTTTCATGCGCAAGTTAGTGCACAACACATTGTTGCACTTTACAAATGACATCACTCTAGTGTGCATTGCCACGCTATGTGGACATTCAGGCATCTAAGTCTAATTGAAAGTCAATAGAACTTAGGCTTCTAAATCACTGAGGTGCTTTTGAAAATTTCACCCAGTTCTCTCGGAGCATGCATTTTAAAAATATCCATTTTGTTTGTTTTTGTATGGTGTCGTATAATTTTAATTTTCTAGGATTTTCTATAACAAAGCTCTGCCAGCAACAAATGCAAAAATATTCTGCTTTAAGATATTCAGAATTTTAATACTTTTTAAATGGATGCATTAGAGTGAAAATTACATGACCTGGAGCTGTAAGTATTCAATATAGATTGCTACACAATTCCTATTGATAACTGATTTTCATTATACCTTAATGGGTTGGTTTAATAGTTATACTTTCAGTTTAGTTTCTTTCATAATTTTTCTACTTTCTCCCAATACCATGGGAGAATTTCTTGTCAAGTAAACATATAATGCAGTAAGTCTGCACTCTTGTTAGTACTTGGTATATGTTGGAGGAGGGACTTATCTTTTCATTAATTCATATAATAAGTGTAACTTGTTAATTTCTGAGACCTTGAGCATGAAAACTGAAATGTACTCTTGGTCCGCCAGTCTCACATGTTGGTAAACTGTGTGCGTGGTGATACTTACAGACACTAAATAATCTGAAGTGCTGCATTGTATGTTAATATATTATATTTCCTGTGAAGTATCTTGTTTCTGTAACAAGCTGTTGCTGCATCTCCCATTGCTGGCAATGAGATGGGCATCGAGGCTCTCAATCCCCTCTTCTGTTATAAAAAAAATGGTTCTTACTGAAGTGTTTCTTACATACTCTGTTAGATAAAGGCCTTTATTTTTTAAAAGTGCATTTAATCATTGTATGGATGTATAAATGGGGCCAAATCTTACCTCTTGTCAATTTCATGAGTAAGATAGCAGGATTTGGTAAGAAAGAGAATCAGTCTCATACATAATGTGACATCTCAACATTTCAGGATTTAAGTAGAGTGTATATTTGTGCAGAATTTTGTCAAACTTTTTTAATGTTGAAACTTTTACATTATGCGAGTAGCCTGCCAGTTTTACGTTTTTTAAAAAAGCAGGACTGTCTATAACTTCAGTTTTTGCCTTATTTAACTTTGTACAAAGTACTGAAGAATAAGAGCCTTTATTACACATAATTGCCATTTGTACTGCTATGTTTAAGGTCTGTCATTATAAACCACTTTTTTCAGGATTGAAAACTTGACAGAAGCTTCTATACCAGGCTGAAACTTGTCAGAATTACCAAATATGAGGGAAGTTTAAATGTATTACAATGAGACTACTTGCATGCTTAAAGTTAAGCACATGTGTAAGTAGTTGAAGAGTCAGGTAGTAAGTAGTGTGGTTATCTTCCTTCCCACCTCTCACTCTGAAGTGGCTCTTCTTTTTATGTTTTAACTTTGTGGACAGTCAGTTTCCAGTATGGCAGGAAGAGGAGATGAATGCAACAAATTGACATTGGGATGATAGTTTACTGTGCATTTGTGCTAATTAAAAATTTAAAGGATTTTAGCATACAGATATGCAGCAGCAGACTAGCAAGTTGCAGAGTTCCTTGGGCACTCAACTCCTCAGATGTAGTTTCTAATTTTTGGATGAATAACAGACATATTTAAATTATTAGTACTCATACAGCTCCACATGATTAGTTTTTAGTATAAACTAATGTTACAAAAAAAGAAAAACACATTCATGTGCACTCTCAATTAAAATATTTTGGAGAGAGTGTGGTTTACTCTCCAAAACTAAAACATACAGAGCTGGTAACAAAATGCCACGAGTGCATCTCATTGTGACGATGTTGTAGAAAAGGATGTGGTCCTCTGTTGTAAACCTGCAGCAGTGGGTTTACATACTGTATCATGAACAACTGTTCCCATCTCAACAAATGAAGTTCTGTTCTATAGGTACAGTAAGAACTAGGCTAACTGCATTCCAATTACATCTGGTGACCTCTCTTGAATCTCTGCACTGGGTGTCTTACTTGGACCCTATCACTTCTATTTGTGCTGCTATGGACTGATTATGCTGCCATTAAAGGAAAACTTCAGTAATTAGTTATGCCTTAGCTAAGTGAGTGTTTACTAAACTAGTCTATACACTACAGGAGCAATTTTTAGAAGCATCTGTTACTATTTCATTGTATCCATTCAATGAATGGGCTTGCTTCGTTCAGTGAGGCCTGCCTTTTTAATGATACTTTTCACTAGGGGATGCTATTTGATATGAAGTAGGATGGCTATGATTCATTTTCCTTTGGAAATAACAAAGCTCTGAGTTGCAAGTTCAGTCATTTTAAATTTTGTTTTGGTTAACCCAGCTTAACTTTTTTAAAATCATAGAATTTATAGCTTCAGAGCTTTCTGATTTTTCATTGTTTCCAAAAGGCAAAGCTTATCCTTTCAGTCCAAATGTGCATCACCATATTTTCAAGCTGATTTCCTGGTTTTTATTTTATTACACTTAAACTTGTTTTACTCTTCTTTGTAATTAGTGATTTGACTATAGCTTATGCTTCACTGTAGCTTTTTTTTTTTTTGTCACTTCCACAGATTGTATCTTTATAGTAAAGGGAATTCAGCAGTTGAACACATTGTACTGCTCAGCGCTTGTGCCTGTTTACAGTGCATAATGCTCAGTGAACATGCACTTTGAACATGTTAATTCATAAGTCTGATAGCTATCAGTTAATCAGTAATATGAGAATTCATTATTTGCACTGGTGAACCTGCTTGTGGGTACTCACACTTACAACTACACAATATATAAGCTTATTGTATTTCAATGATAATACCAAAAACTGCATCAGATTTCTAAATGTCTCTATAGATTTTTGCTCAGTAAGATGAAGAGCAATTATGGTCCAATCAGCTTGCCTAGTTTCATCAAATTGCCTTTACTATATTGCTATAAGGAAAAATCACTTGTACTGATCATTAATATGTTCAGTAAAATCTGAGGGTTATAAATTCAAGCTATACTGTATTGACAAATGTTATGTATTGTACTCCTAATACCTAATCAGAATTAGTAAGAAGAATTAAGTGAGTCTTGCAAGAGTAATAAATTTAAGACTTCACACATTATTACAGAAAGATGAGAAGTCTTTCAAACAATTAAAATTCAAAGGTTAATTCCTCTTTGTATGATGGGAGAGACCATGACCTAAAAGCCAAGTGAACCTTATTTAGGTAATACTAAAAATAGTCTCAGTCTCAAGTTACCAGTAGAATTAGGGTAATACTGATATATTGTATGTCCAGTGAGCATTCCTTCTCTCTCATTTGAAACAATAGGCTGCTGACTAAACTTGGTCAAAATATATTAAACAAAAAGTTAGTTTGGGCCAAATGGGATATTGCTCTCATCACTAAAATAAAAATCCATTGTTACTAATAAGTGACTTATCTAAGTTGCATATTTCTATGAATCTGAATGGTTAAAACAAATCAAATGTATAACTTTTTATCACCATCATGTACCCAAATAATGTAATATACTTATTTTTTTAGAAATTCATGTCAACATGACCTATACTTAATACTCAAACAAGTGGAAAAATAAATGTTTCAAAATGAATACTTTGTGTGTTCTATTTCTATAAAACCACTGAAAGTTAATTTTAACCATCTGTTTTAAGTGACGTTTAGCTGTGTCACAGCAGTTTGTAAACATTACTTACTTGAATACTGTTTGGGCTGCATAGCATGTTGCTGCTTCTGTAGGTACATTAAATTGCTGAAGCATCAAATTGCTAGAAATTGCTATACCCCTGTGGCTGTGTAACCAAATCTGCATCTCCCTAACAGTCCCATGTGAAGCAATGCACTCCAGAGTCTGGTGTGACTGATTCAAATTAATATACTGTCAACAGTAGAGAAAAAAGGTAGTTGTTATAACCATCTTAAAATGAACAAGTTTAGGAAGAAAATCCAATAGAAGCACCACCTTGCCTTGTTTTTAGATAGTAGAAGTTCTATGATTAGACTGGGATAAGACAATCGGCACAGTGGAGGGGCTTAGATCACCATTTTAGATCTAGAAGCCTGTGACTAGTGGTAGACATTTAGGGATAAGAAATGTTAGAAATAGAACAGAAGGACATTTGATTCACAGAAAAGATGAGTGGGTGTGTCAGCTCCACTCAGATACCTCCAGACTGATATGAGGTGAGCTAGCTGCTGAATCCCTGGGTGTTTTGAGCCTCCAGAGACTGAATAGGGTCCAGGCACTGCTGCTGTCTTAGGGCCTATGGGCACATTCTCAGTGTGCAGATCTTCTATCAGGCACACCCTCTGAGAGCTGCAATCAAGAGGATTCTGCTCAGGCCCTAGAACCAGTGCTTACGTCTCAGAGTCCCACCCCCTTAAACAAGCCTTC